GTCCGGTATACGCTGTCCTAGCTAACCTAGCAGCCGCACTAAAAAGAAAAAAAAAAAGGAAAAGGAAAAAAAAGGGAGGCACCACATACATAGACACGAACACATCCTCCGGTAATTTAACTTAATCAGCCGCGCAGAACGACTCACTCTAGCGTTTAAGGTGAAGTCAACTATACGCAGACAGTGAGAGGGACTCTTTTTTAAAAGCAAATCAAACGGCCCAGTGATTTTAACTACCGTCCTTCTTTAACTCACCCGCCACTTCCGTGGCAAGTGTTTCGCAGGTATACTTCCTACTATAGATCCTTTTCTCGCTATTTATAGTCACCGTCTTCTTCCTCTTTCGTTTCCTTCTTATACGTTTCTATTAGGTCATCCTATAAGTTCCTATCGAATTTTATAATTTAGATTAATATTTCCAAGGAACCTTTAAATTTGGTAAAAAAAACGAAAACGCCTTCTCATTGCACAAATTTTTCTTACCATTTGCTGACTGCCACGCCAAACTTTTCATTATTCCAAGCATAATATTACTATTATAATTTTCTTTCTTTTAATTCGAAATAATGTTATAGTTAGTTATGATGCCGAAAATTTTTTAGTCGACGATATTCATTTTATTTTGATTATTCTAAACGTTCGAGGCACTCCGGTTACCAATAACCACCGTGGAGGAAAGAATCTCCGGTTACAGGTGATCAACGTGGCAGTGAACGTGTTAAAATATTTGTCACTTTCGGTACGAATTAACGAGACGATCTAATAGAATAGTTTTCTCTCTCTCTCTCTCTCTGATACATGGAGCTCGGTGAGATCTAATTCGCGAGTGTATTTTAAGCTTTGCAAAAATCGAATACGTATATCGTTAGACGAGCCTGTTCCTCCAGTTAGTACTCTCGACGTCTAATAAAACCTCCGCTTCCTTTACGAGTCTTCGATTACAATCTAATTACATATTCATAATTTCCTCCTCCAGCCGCTAGCAACAGATTGGCCGGCAAACGAGCCACGAACACACGACAAACCAGCTCCTATTAATCGATCAGAGACGAGTTTCAACGCGTACGAACGAATTCAGGCGAACTTGTGTGTACGGGACGTATCGGTTATTACGCGCTTCCGAAGACGTGCTCTCCGTGTTACGTGAGATTAAGTCCCGTTGCCGTAGATACAAGCGTGGAAAAAAGGTTATATCGCGTACACCAAAGAGTATAAAATGGTGTTCCAAGGTGATTAGAAACACGGAGAACGTTTCCTTGTGTCTACGATCACGGGACACTCGCGTCAGTGTATCTAGCGATCAACGAGTGTATAATCCATTATAACGCTTAAACGTAAACTATAATAGTTTTCACTGAATCTCGAGGTGCTGCTCCGGGTATCGGTACTCTTTTTTACCCCGAGGTACTTCTCGTTTCTACTTTAGATAAATAGAACAAAGTGTCTCTACGAAATTGGAAGTACCTTGTGTAGGTATAGAGAGTGTTCCCACGAACGGTGGACTAGGAATAATTAACAAAAACATTTTTCGAAATAATAATTCTCCGACGATTAGGAAAGATCGATTTGTTTTAGCTTCGTTCACCCGTTCACGGAACACGCTATACATTTACGTCGTTTCTTCGATTCTTTTGCAACGAAGAATGTACTATTATGATATAGTAGATTTAGTATTTTTGTAAAGAAAAAAGAAACAGAAGAAAAAAGAATCGAAAAACGTGGGAGTATCGACGTTTCACCGTCACGTGGAGCGTTTTACTTTAGTTTGTAACTTGTGAGAAAAAAAAAAAGAGAAAACGCCGAGAGGCGTTCGCGTAACTGGGTCCAACGTGGTGGTGGGTACAGATTGTAAAATTTACATTTAAAGAGAACAGAGGAACAAACAAAAAAAAAAAAAAAGACGCGCAAACGTAACACTCGTAACCCATGATGAGCTATTATGCAAGAAATCGAAAAACGGATAAAAAAAAAAATATGTGTAAAATGTTAATTCGGTTTACAGAAAACCGATTGCCTTGGCGACAATAATTTTCTGTGGTCTGACGATTGCACAAAAGTCTAGTTAAATAAAAACATCGTATGACAAAAATAATTACCTTTGAAGCAAATTAAATGTAACGTATATTTCTACGTTATGAGATGGTGTAGTTAGTGTTTTCATAGCTATCCTTGTCTCGATTCTCGCAGACGTTGCGTAACATGATACCCCAATGTTTTGGTTTATATATAAAATAGAGAAGAAACCTTGAAAACACCTTAAGCTACATACACACGTAGCTTCAAAATCTACACGTTGTAAATTGTAACGGAAAATAGCTTAAAAATTGTACGTTACGATGTTCTGCAATATTTCTACAAAGTGCAATAATTTCGTGCGATCGTCAAATCGGGAATTTCCGTCGTCGATCGGAAACACTCGACGAAAGTGTAACAGACGAGCGTTATCGTTTCATCGTATTCGCGGCATTGGTTCATAGCGACATTGGGGACAAAAATGCCTGTATAGAGTTCTTTTTGTAAGGATACGCGATTCCCCTCCAAGTCCCGCAATGTTTCTCTGGACCTTTGTCCAAAAACTTACAACGAACTTGTGTAAATAACGAAAACGTAATAAATCTTGTAACCATAAACGAACATGGCTACTCAATGCTTCGAAAAGAACCACGCATCTTCGTATTATTAATTGCACACATTAGTCGCTATGAAATTTACCCAAACAATTGCCAACGAATACGCAATTCATCTTATAAAGAAATAAAAAAGAATATTATAACGATATAACGTTAGACTAAGCTCATACTCTACGTAAATGATACTAGAAAAATGTTGGACAAAGTTCAAATACGTTTTCTATTGGCAGTTAATGGTTTTCCCGCCAACGCCATATTGGCTTAGAAATAACAAATGCGACGAATTATTAACTCACCATTTGCGATGAATTTCCTGGCAATTCGAATTTACCACTTGCTCCAATATCCTCCAAATTATCCAGTATCCGTCGTCATAGTCGCCTACGCTTGATACACACACATTTACACAAACACTCGTTCCAACACGAAAAAATATGAAACTTCGATCGTTTGATCGTCCATCGAAAACTGACGCGGCTACAACGAAGTTTTATAATCTTTTGAATGTTTTCGTTCGCGTCTTCGTACTTTACGCGGCCTTTCCGACCTTCGCGCTAAAGTTTCTACGATTTAAGAATTACGAAAATAGAATATGTCTCGAATAAATTGCGAAACCATTCCTACGCGATCTGTGCTCGAAGATCGGACTTTGATTGAATGATTCAAGAGGGATCTTTTACATCGAAGAACGTCAAATTTTTGCAAACTACGTTATATTACGAAAGAATAGTGATTTAAATAACTATTTTTATCACTTTAAAGGAACAATAAGCTGTTTGACGTTGATAATTTCTCATTTTTCACGAGCTTCGCACACTGCTTCCACGTTTGAATTACACCAAGCGTTTCAAATTTTAGTTCACAGCTCCGTCGCCAGAGCACGATGTAGCCCAGGTACGTATCAAGTTTCCACAGTACCAGGGAACTATGTTCTTTTGATAAAGTTTACAAAAATTTTCCAATTTTTCAATTAAATTCTCGTTATCGTTGACTAGTTTCATCGTCGAACTTCAGCAATATGCTGTAAAGCAGTTTCTGCGCAGTAAGACTGGATTTTATTATCTGCGCAAAGAAGAGGGAAATTCAAATATGAAAACTGAAAGAATCGTTAGAAAAGAATTGATTAAAAATGCAACATCTACAAATACAAGTAGAAATAACGAAAAATATATTGTGGATCATGGGAATAATTCAAAGATCTCGCAAAGTATCAAACGAGAGTGTCTTCTTTTTTATTGAATTATATATAATTCGTTTTTGGAAAATATGATATATATATATGTATATAATATAACAAGAAATATAATTAGACTGACATGAGTTCTATCAAATTGTCCGGCTCTCTATGATGTTGTGCATCTTTGGGTTGGTAGTATAGCTCTTTTTGTTTCCACCATACGATTCCTAATTGCATTCACCTTCTCGGTCACCTTCGCGACGCATATGCATACGAATTCCCCGATTC